TGTGTGAAAGATATCAGTTTATCAAGTTGATAGAAACCGATATTTTACTGGCAAAAATGTAATAAATATATATATTAAATATTGTAAAAGTCACAATTTACTACTGTTTCAAGAAATGTGTTGACGCTTTCTACCAAACAACCATATGATAGGCATACTCTTGAGCCAATACTGAGTACAAAACAAAAAAACTAAAATTGTAACAGTTCCTGTATTTCAAACAGACAACACAAGCACTGGATGGGTTCTCTCGGTGTTTTGTTCCAAACACAGTATGGTAACAACGACATTTATACATAACTAATATTTACATAACTAAGAAAAAGTACAATTAATGCTATTTTACTTTCTGTATTTATGAAAATTATATTTCTAGATAACTTTATATAGCTAGAATACATACAAACTAGTTCCTTTAGATATAAATGTGTTATACAAACTTTTAGAAATAAATGCATAGTTATATATAGAACGTATATTTAACAGATAATTTGAAACAGTAACTACTTATTTAGAAATAAGCTAGAGTATTTTGATAAACATGTTTAGCAAATAAACACTTACTATGGAGTAGAGGTTCCCGATATTGCAGCACGTAAATTTTTCTCCAATTCACGGGTAGAGGTGCCCAGGTAAAATTGTCAGGTAGCCAGGTAAGAAATGTCAAAGGTCATATCCTAAGACTAGTCATTGGCCAGTCTACGGTCATGTGTCCTAACATGCATACTTAATTACTAATACGTAACACATAACACACAAAAATACGACGTGTATATACATTAAGGTGGCTTGACTCATAAGATATAATAGAATTTAAAACAATAACTTTTTCCTAATTTTACTTTACACCAACGGGAATAAGAAATATATATTAATCTATAAATTATACCCTGTAACATGAACACCTTGTCTTTCAACTGCGGTCTCAGTGACTGTTATAACATGATTTCAACAGTTGTAAAATGTAATTTACAACCTGTTATTAAAATCAACAGATATTTTAGAATTTTTAAACATTTTGATGAGAAAGTTTTTAAAGATGTCAGCAAAATACCTTTTCATGCGGCATATGTTTCGATGATGTTGATGTCTATAGGTCGCGTGACAAACTGTTAACAGATGTTTTTTAGCTCACCTGGCACAAAGTGCCAAGTGAGCTTATGCCGTGGTGCGGCGTCCGTCGTCCGTCCGTCCGTCCGTCCGTCGTCCGTCCGTCGTCCGGCGTCAATATTTTACTTTAAATGACTTCCTTTTAATAACCAAAAGCCCTAGGGTGATGATATTTGGCCAGAAGCAAACTGGGATGAAGGGCTACCAAGTTTGTTCAAATAAATGACCTTCATCTATTTTCAAGGTCACAGGGGTCAAATATGTTAAAAACTTTGAACAACTTCTTCTCAATAACCAAACTGCCCAGGGAGATGATGTGTGGTCAGAAGCATGCTAGGGTAAAGGGCTACCAAGATTGTTCAAATGAATAACCTTAAATTATATTCAAGGTCACAGGGGTCATTTGTCTTAAAAAAACCTTTAAATAACTTCTTCTGAATAACCAAAATGCCCAGGGTGATGATATTTGGCCAGTAGCATGCTGAGATGAAGGGCTACAAAGTTTGTTCAAATGAATGACCTTCACCCATATTCAAGGTCACAGGGGTCAAATATGTTAAAAACTTTAAACAACTTCTTCTCAATAACCAAAATGCCCAGGGTAATGATATTTGGCCAGTAGCATGCTGAGATAAAGCGCTATAAGGTTTGTTCAAATGAATGACCTTCACCCATATTCAAGGTCACAGGGGTCAAATATGTTAAAAACTTTAAACAACTTCTTCTGAATAACCAAAATGCCCTGGGTGATGATATTTAGTCAGTAGCATACTAGGATCAAGGGCTACCAAGTTTGTTTAAATGTATGACCTTGAATCATATTCAAGGTCACAAGGAGCAAATATGTTTAAAATATTTCAACAACTTGTTCTGAATAACCAAAAGGCTCAGGATGTTGATATTTAGTTAGTAGCATATGCTGGGATCAAGGACTACTATGTTTGTTAAAGTGAATGACTTTGACTTATATTCAAGGTCACAGGGGTCAAATTTGTTTAAAATCTTTAAACAACCTCTTATGAATAACCATGGGTCCCAGGATGTTTATACTTTGCAAGTTGCATCCTGAGATGAAAGGCTATACAATGTGTTCAACATAATGACTTTGTTCGACTTTCAATCACAGGGGTGAAATGTTTTTAAAAAAAATAACAGGGTCTTTTGAACGAATTTTAATCATATATACTGATATTTTGCCTGTAGCTTTATTTTAGATCACTTTTAAGGTTACAAGTGTGAGTTTTATACCAGGTGAGCGATGCAGGCCCATTGGGCCTCTTGTTTAATGTGCATGCTATACATAATTAGATGCCCTACCATAGCAACAAGATTGATTTGATTTACAGGGATAGCCATATATGGTGTTTTTGGACAGTTAGCAAGCTAAAATGAAAGTCTCCGCATGTGACAAACAAAAGTACCTTCCTACGAGCGGACACTGGTATGACAATGTATAAGCATGTCAAATATTTATTTGATTGGTGCATGAGAACCTTTCAAAGGTTGAAGAGTGTTGAGTTAACTTTCTTCAAAATGATCAATTTTCAGCCAAATAGCGCACAACAGACGATGTTCGCGCATTTTATTATAAAAATGCGGATGTATGTCTCTCTTTGTGATGCTATATCTCCTAAACCAATCTGATTAAAATCATAAGTTGCATGGCTTCGTTAACTTCGTACAACGCGGAGCCATGTAACAGATGATTTTAATCAGATTGCTCCTAAACCAGTTGTCGAATGAATTTGACATTTCATATTTGTGTACTTCATTTATTTGAGATTACGAATACAACAACTAATTTTAATACCCGATGAGGCCGGATATGACCCATATTCCTTTAAAAGATTCAAAACACTTCAACACTGGGAATTCTATTCTGTCTTTGCGTATTGCAGAGTTATCTTCTTTTGTGAGCAGGGATTGATTGTTACGTCATTTGTTGGTGAGAGTAACGTCATCAATTGTTGAGAAAACGACGTAATTTTCTCACATAAACCAATGACGTAACAATCAATCCCTGCTCACAAGAGAAGATAACTCTGCAATACGCAAAGACGGAATAGACAACAGAGAAACATATGGCTACCAAAAGAAAGAAAACAGTATTTTTGCAACTTATTGTTTGCTGGTGGGCCAAAATCCAAGGATTTCTTCACCATCAAACCTTTCTTGCCTAAACAAAAAGAAAAGAAAACTCTTGGACCAAAACATCATTTTAAATGAGTGTTATGAGCGACCAGTTAGAGGTGTGCTATGTGGCTAGTGATATTGGAAATGATGTCTTCGAATCTAATGTTGCCTTCATTTCCAATATCAAAAACCAAATGTGAATGTCTTTCCTAATCGGCTTAAGGAGACACATGTTGTCCACATTTACAAAAAAAAAAGAAAGACACTATGGATAGGCCTGTAAGCATGCATTCTACCCAGTGTTTCCAAACTTTTGAGAGAACGTGTGTTACCAGCTTGCTGAATATTTTAGCACCATTTTTAATTCCTGTTTAGAAGCATTCAGTCCAGGTGTTGGCTGTCAGACTACCCTTACCCTGTTAAGATTAATTGAGGACTAGCGCAAGGCTTTGGACAGCCGTGAGTATGTCGCTGCCATCCTCATGGACCTGTCTAAAGGGTGTAAGCAGTGGCACACTGGACCTGGGGCCTGGTCGTTTATAAACAGCCGGTTTGTCTGTTTAAAATGTAACATGTTTAGGTATATATCCTTGCAGGCCTGCAAATATTTATACAGGTCTCGCAAGGCTTTGTCAAGACTCTCAAGAAAGCAGCATCAGATTCGTAAACGAACAATTCTGGTCAAACGGGTTCAACTGTTTGTATCGCGACAGCGGCCGGGTTTCCAGCTAACTTAATGCAGGTTAAGCTTGGCTCCAAATGCGTTGACTGGTTGTTAGTGCTCGATGGGGTTCTCCAGGGCTCAATTATGGGACCCTTTTTGGACCCTTCCTTTTCAATATTTTAGCAACGACATTTTCGTTTATGTCTTATTTGTCCGGATATTAATTCTATCAATTTTGTGTAGCTTGAAACTTTAAATTGTGAATTGATATGTGACATTTTAATAAAATAAATGTATATAATACTCTCTGTCTATGGCCAGAGGACGTTGTAGGAAGAGGAGCTAGACATCTGAGCTGATATATAGTTTTAATGTATTTAACATAAGAAAAACCGGCTCTTAACTAAGTCAAATGTATTTGATAAATAATTGAGTTTTAATTGCTATTAATGTATAATTGTAACTAAATTTAATTTTCACTAAATCACATGCCAACATATAAATTAATCATATTAAGATAACCTCATAGTGTGAATGTTTTTACTGGATATATTGATTATAGTTAAGTGAGATTTTATTTTATGGATTTTTTTAATATCATAACAAGCATGTTAATTATGTGTGTATTCTTAGTTTCAATTTTAATGTGCGTTTTGTTTCTCTTTTGCATGTTTTTTATACCTCTAATCTCTATGCCCACTATATGGCACATTTCATATGTTCTGCCTCCGTAATATCTCGTCAGAGCTACTGTTTCATGTTATATATATATCTTGTATCTTGCTACATTACCTTGAAAATTCTCGGAAACGGGCAAGGCTAACTGTTATAGTAATACTAGCCTTACTCAAGTCCGAGATATGTTCTGGGGATGGTCAATCGATTTAACCCTTATGACATGAATCATGTGAAGAAAGAATAAGAATTTCTGTAGAAAAGTAAATATTTTTTCTTTTTATTTCCATGTTTTAAACATCAAACATCTTATTTGTACATAGATGTGAGTTTTTACTCTCTTTTTTAGCGAATAGATTGATAGGGCAAGTCACAATCTCAGGTGTCACCTGTTTACGGAACTAATTTAACGCGCATGCGTAGTTTCCATGTTCCGTCTTCGCTGTCAGACAGCCTCCCGGTTCGGCAAAATATTGATGAAGGAGCAGAATCTGATGATATTCTGTACTTACAGCAACCTAATGGGTTGACGCAAGATACACGGTAGAATTGAGATGAGGAATGAGCTCACAATAAATAGGAAAAGATCAGAAATCGTAATACTGAGGTGCTAAAAATAGGCAAAATGGCGACCAACGTTCTGCAAACAAGTGAAAATCGCGAACGGGAAAATGATGTGAACAGTGTTAAAGAAGGATCGGAAGATGGTAAGAGTGATTTAATGAAAGTGTTTAGTTCACATATTAAATGTTAAGCTACATCACTAGATAGTAGCTATACATGATGGTTTTATTTACCTCCTGAATTCAGTCTGAATGTCGGGGATGACAAATAGGACAGTTGATAATTTTTGCCTGTTGTAAAAAATCAATGAGTACAACAGTACGATTTATGAGTGCAGTATGGTGTAAAACGAAATCTGGCTGTGTGTTTATTTACAGGGGATATTTAATCATTTATGATAAAACTCGTGCCACATGCTTTTGTTTTACTAACAGTAAAATGGAATATATATTTAGCAATGATGAATCAGGATTTCTATCCTAACGTGTTGATGTCGAAATTAACAAGAAAATCGATGATAACATTGTTTCCTGTTTTATTAAGTTTTGATATTGTTATGAGATTTACATTAAGGTTATTATCAGACTCGTGTGCCCCAAAACGTTTTTGTTTATGTTGAAATATTTGCCATGATATTGACTATTTGTCAGTAACAGATCTATGTAACCCTGGTAAATACTAGCCACATTTTATCGCTCGGCTAGAGGGAACTTCTCTTCAGCTTGATTGGTTACGCGTAAAACTAGTAAGCCAGAGGTTCTAGGTTTGATCCCTAGCAGAGGCAGTGATTTAAATTTAATTAATCAGACGCTCTGTTACACAGATCTTTCGTTGACTTGTTGTTTGAGGGGTTTAACTTAACTACACCAAGTAGTTGGGTTATCCAGAGGGCGATCTCGCTGAAAGGACCTTCACCAGGGCTTCATTATTTTCGGAATAACACGCATAGCTTTTTGAATTGAAACATATATAGGATTATGGTTGCCATCTAGTTCCGTGCTAGAGAGAATTTCCCTTTAGCTCAGTGGTAGAGCGTCCGACTAGGAAGTATGTGATCGCGGGTTAGATCCCCGGTGGAAGATAACTTCTCTCTTTCCTGTTATAAATGGTGTACATGTCTGTGGCCCTCCCTGTGGTGACAGGGTTGTGGTATTCGAGGGCGAACACATTTACCATGGATGGGTACACATTTACAAAGATGTTATAGATATTAATTGTTGTTTTTTGTACATAAGATTACAGTCCCCTTCCTGCTTCACTCTAGACAATTCCCTTTAGTGCAGTGGTAGAGCGTCTGACTAGAAAGTATGGGGTTGTGGGTTAGATCCCCGGTGTAAGCACAGTACTATTCTCTTTCCTGGGAGAGAAGGGGATGTGTACTTCTGGTGAATATCAATATTTCAGACAGCTGTTACAAGAATACGGTAAAAAACCAGTTCCCTTAGCTGCATGTCTGATGAGCAGGTAAAAAGTCACAGTTAGATAACTCTTTCATGATGGATGTGAAGTTTCAGCAAATATAGGATAGTTACACTGTGACAGAGATTGCCAGATAGATTTACCCTCCCCAACCCCCCTGTGTAGGTTGTGATTGCAAAATTGTGTGACTTTGTCCTGGACCAGAAACTTGTATCTTGGAAAACATGTATTGGGATATATATAGTGAAAATAACAAGGAATGCTAAAAATACTAGTTTTTATGTTTTATATGAATAAGGGCTGTCACTGATGTAGTAGGACGAGGAATAGTGATAAAATTTGCTGGGATTCAAACCTGCAGCCCCTGGCTCTCCAGTCAAATGCTCTACTGCTAAGCTAAAGGGAATTTCCCTACAGCTTATAAGGCAACCTAATTAATTTACATCTTTTACAATCATGATTCCCCCCTTTTTTCAAAAACCAACCCAGGTTCTTTGACTCCCCGTCACGGGTTCTCCTACCTTGAACGAGGAGGGTCAACGGCACCAGTTTGTAGTTAAACGAGGAATAGTGATTAAGATATTGTCATCGCTGGGGCTCGAACCTGCATCCCTTGGCTCTCTAGCACAATGCTCTACTGCTGAGCTAAAGGGAAATTCCCTACAGCTGATACTTGTAAGGCAACCTAATCAATACACATCTTTTACAATTTAATGTGAAATTTGAAACCAGAACCGTATCCTGGTATTTAAAACATTTTACACTGCAAAATGCACCACTGCTCATGCAGTGCTGAGAGACATAGATATAAAAACGAGAGAGATAATAAAATAGCAATCTTTGAAAGTTGCTTTATATTCTCTTCCTTGCATTAACTGATCATTTCGTAACAGTTTGTGTGAATTGATACAAGAAACCTCGGAAGCTTGAATACATCAGATTGTTGAGAAATGTTGATATGTGTTAGCGAGTGATCTGTTACTGTATACATGTACGTACCTGTCAGGTGACTAGATTTCGTTGGGTGCACATGTGACCACTTCTGCATGTGCATGCATGACCTAACGGCCTGGTCAACGCTGGGCCATCATTTTCACTTGATTTTCCTAAACATATATTGTGATGTTTACACAGATATGTAGCCTTCTGGTTTGTGGCTTTAAATTAACAAGACAATTAGGTTGTAAAATGGGGTTAAAGACAATAGGTAATTAAATGACAGGTGACACATTGTAGAGTGTGGACGAAATTAAATCAACTTGAGGTAAGTTTTGAGAAAATTCACATAGCAATTTGGTAAAGACTCATGATCACTAGGTGATAAAAAATTACATGTTTTGTTCAGGATTGAAATAAGGCAATGAGAGGACAGGTCATTTGTAATTTTAATTTCTAGGCGAAAATTTTAAAGAGGAATGTACATTTTCTCTTGCCCTTGAAAAGAGAATTTGTCAAAGCCAAAGTAGTGTTAGAATTTACACACCTCAGGCAATGGGGCTGCTTAATAGATAGATTTCTTATATCTTACTATAGACCTACTGGAATTTTCATAGACAATGGCCCATTTTCATGAAACTGATTTCATGCTCAAGCATGGATTTTGTGGTCAAACTAATTTATTTCAAACTTTGTAAAGTCATGTTACACAGTCAAAAATGTCCAGTCTATACATTTAAAATAGTATTGGGCTTCAATTAAAGATTGTAGTTACAGCCAAAATGAATGCAATCTAGGACGTCTTGATTATTTATCTGTCACCCAGATTGCATTCATATTGGCTGTAACTGAAATCAGACAGACATTCAATCGTTATATTTACATTTCCTCATACGGTCTGTCTTTTATTCATTAGTCTGATGAGCTTAATTTATATTTCCTGCTGCCGCAAAACCTCACTGGTTCAATTCTTGGAACAGCCGCAGACAGCCATTATCTGACCGAAAACTTTCCAAACAACTGTCACCATTAAAAAATGTAACCAGGCGACAGCTGTTACATGCAGTTAAGTGCTCTTATTATATGTGCAGAACATTCTTAATACAAAAATTAGAACTCACCTGATATTCTGCTTGTCTTCATTGTCTGCAAAACCTGTCAAAATGCGACTTGTGTGAACCAAACGACAACAACAAGATGGCGGCTATCATATCAGTGGGAGTGGTTGCTTACACCGACGTCACAGAAACCATGGTCATGTGACCAGATAATGCAGACTGCAGTTACTGTGCAGTTACTGCAGGCTGACTATCCATAGAGTTAATGGAAAATGGGAAGGGCACATATGTCAATATATATATAGTATTGGTCTTCAAATCTCCCAAAAGTCTTCGTAAACTTGCCAGGAATTTGGGCTTGAGAATTGAACATGACATAGTCTGGGTTTGAGCATGAGATTCTGGGTTTGAGCATGAGAACAGTTTCATGAATATGGGTCCTAAACTTGACTAAGAAAATTTCAGTTATATATAAAGTGCAACATTATCAATGAAGCGAAAACATCACAGGGAATAACTTAGTCTATTAACTCATTCACCCCTGAAATTTCATAATGAACTACTCAAACCTTTGAATTGGAAGAGTTCACATGCGTCTTCAGGGGTGAATGAGTTAAGTAAAAATATGAATCATTACTAGAGACCTACAGTGGTTTTCAAGGTGTAGGGTCTACTGTTAAACGCTGCCAGAACTAAGTTTTAGACAATGCAAGTTTTACCACTTATGGATAATTAATAAAAATAAGCATGTACATATATATTGTAGATATAAACACACAAGTTACGTTTTATTGCAAGTGTTAGTCATATGATACGCGGGTGAAATTGATATGTATCGTGTATCGGTCATTGTGAAATAGAAGGCTTCAGTATTCCAGCAGCCAGATACTAGTACAAAAAACCAAAGCTGGTACGAAATTATCCATTATGTATATACACATAAAGGTACAACAAGAGTTAATCCTGGTCTATGTTGTCATTTATACAGGTCAACTATAAATAGATTATGTTTACAATGTTAGCTATGGGATGTATTTAACCCATTTACTCCTAAAGTCACATTTGAACCTTACCAAATCAAAGACTGGGCAAGCCCAGTTTAAAAATGTAGGGATGAATGAGTTCATAGATTTGACTCGCGGAATTATCTGTATTCCAAAAAATTGTTTACCTGGAAGTTTATCAAACTGATATAAGTACAGTATAATATACCTGGGTATATGGAGTGATGTACATGTGTAAAGGTCACTCCGGGTGTTTTGGGAATTCTAGACATTTGAAAACATGTATTTTGGATTTTTGAAAAGTTTAACAATCAATACTTTTGTTATTGAGTTGTTTTCACTATAATTAGAAATGACCAACTTCAGTATAATGTGACCAGTGGCCATGGAGTATCATTTGTTAAATCAAAAATGACCAGTCCTCTGTGAACGAATGTAATATTTCATAAATTACCTATTAAATGGTGTTTTTTAGTAATTTCGTTTTTGAAACGCAAATCATGACTTCTTTAAAAAAACAACCCAACATATTCTCAGTTGAGACTGGATTTGGAAATTGAGATAAAAAGGGCGAGATCCTGCGTAATACACATAATCCTTTGACACAAAGTTCAAAAGGCATCATCTGAAAACAGAACCGTTTGAAAATGCATTGTATTTGGATCCTTGTTTTGAGTCGCATTATATCTATTTGTTTATAACTCTAGTGACTGCATGGATTTCAGTCATAGTGGTGTGATCTTAGCTGTCTGTACGTAAATCGTAAATCCCCTGGTATATCCAGTCCCATACAATATAAATATTGTCCTTGCTCACTCGAATGTCTACGTAAATCGTAAATCCCCTGGTCTATCCAGTCCCATACAATATAAATATTGTCCTTGCTCTGATTTACATTTGTACCTGCGTAGTACAGCTGGTCAGTGATAATGTATCTCGGGCAGGTCTTGTACCTATTAACATTAAGGTGATCAGGGTTGACATGGGTGCTTACTGCTTACTGCCATTTTCTTGGTCCTTCAGTTTTAATGGCATGGATGGTGGTAAGGACTGGTCAGCCTAGGGCAGTGGTCAATATAATGTGACCAGGCCTAGGTGGAATGTCATGTTACCATGCCCAGGTTAGGACATTTCAGTGAGGTGACATTTCAAAAGTGGCCCCATCATGATCACCAGGTTTCATATGAACCTAACTGAATGTGGTGTGAGGACGTTAAACCCCAAACAAACAAGTTGTTGTTGACATTTTAAAAGTTCTTTGGAGCATTCCTTTACTCTGCCCCATACCTGCGTTAAAATAAAGTAAGTTATTAATGTCATATCATAGCTTGGCACCTGACTAGCTACTGCTAACAGTTTTCTAAGTCCACCCTTCATCTTGTCAAGAATTCCTGTAAATCCTGTTCCTTATATTGACCCATTCACCTCTAAAGTCACATCTGAACCTTATCAAATCAAAGACTGGGCAAGTCCAGTTCAGATATGTAGAGGTGAATGAGATAATAACTTGACAGAGAGTTTGTCAAAGTCTAGAAGCTGTCCAGTGCATTCTGGAGAAGTTTGTGAAAAAAGTACAAACTTGAAAACAATTCCAATTTTGAAGACAATTTCAACCAAATGTTTTCCTCAGAATTAGTGTTTTGCAAAGAATGATAAAACAAAGCAGCTGGTTACCTGGAAGTTTGACATGAAGAGAAGTACTGTTTACATGTGACTATACATAGATCTGTTTATAATGTACATGTATCGTTTTGTCGTAAGTAGTGCCCCCACCACCAATAGGTACAACAATAGTGGGTGTAACCTAGCAGGTTTACCCTGACCAGGTTGTGAGACCTATAGCCATTGTGGGAGGAAATGTAGTATATTATACTGTATTGTTATAGTATCTGTTTTCAGCTCCTCTGTTAACATATATTATATCTTTCTTTGACTAATTCTACTTATTAATTATTATTATATCCGACTGTACATACAAAATGTCCATGTCACATCAGGTTTTTTTCGTTTTTTTTCGGAAATGTTAAATCTTTGGTACGGAAAAAAAAAAACCTGATCGATCATAAAATTTTAAATGATTCTAACACTACACTATATATATATAATACACATCCAACAAACTCACTGTTAAAGTGCCTACACTAGATCATATTGTCGTTATTACTCATGGTTACTCTATATAAATAATCCAACAATATTTATAAATAGTTGATATTACACATCACATCACTTTGAAGTAAGAGAAGCTAACTGTATTAAACCAAGTTGTTATTAATGTATTTATCCAGCATTAAGCCCATGCCTGGTAATAAGCCCACCCATATTTATTGTTCTGTTGAAATACAAACAAATGCTATTTCATTGTCTCGTTACAAGCCCATCCTTTATTTTGAGTGAGAGGTTATGTGGGCTTATTGTAGGAGATAAAATTATAATATCTGTGAAAGAATTTAGATTATAAATAACTGCTAATAATGATTTGGTTTGGTTTGTTTGTGTTTTACGTCCTATTAGCAGCTATGGTCATTTAAGGACATGATAGGTTTTGGTGGTGGAGGAAAGCCGGAGTTCCCAGAGAAAAACCACAGCCTACGGCCAGTACCTGGCGACTGCCCCACGTAGGTCTCAAACCCACGACCCAGCGGTGGAGGGCTAGTGGTAGCAGAACGTCAGACGCCTAAACCACTTGGCCACCGTGGCCCCTAAGTACAGCTAATCGTGAAGTAATTATACATTGATATAGTATAAGGAAGGCATTTATAATATAATTGTAATTTCATTATTCTCTTTTGCAGAATGTGACGATGATGGGAAACAGAAACTAAGACCGCCTCCTATAGAGGTAATGTTTAATTTGTATTAAAATGTAATTTTAATGAAAAAATACAGTACTTGCCCCACAATGAAGTACACTGTATACAGGTCAATTTTTTTAAAATATATATATGCATAAAACACATATACTTTATCAAATTAGCTTTTACAATATCATAGTGTTTTGTAAACTTATTTATTTTACAACATTCAATTAGCACCCGAAGGTCTAGATAACCTACGTAATCAGGCATGCACAGGTGACCCAATACCGTTTCCCGTCCAAACCTTGGTCTTGGTGAAAGGCGGCTGTGTTATCCACTGTTCCACCCGACCATCCATTATGGTCTTTTAATTATAAGAATAATTTGAGGGTCTTATATACCGCTTTATCACAACCTAGTCCGTAGGTCATCATAAAGCGGTTCACAAGTTATTATCTGTGGTTATAGGGCCTTGGCAACCAGCCACTATCATTCTCAACTCCCTGGGGAGTAAACAGCCGTAGCTACCATTTCGGCGCTTACAGCTAGCATTCAACAATTCTAGCACTGCCCAACCACGTACTCATTTACAGCTGAGTAGACTGGAACAAGCGGAGTAAAGTATCTTGCTCAAAGTTACAACACAGTGCCGTGGCATGACTCGAACCCACAACCCTTCAGTCACGCGCCCGGCGTTCTACCACTAGACCACCATGCCTCCTAAATTTAAAGGAAACAAGGCCATTGTACCCATCCATGGTTACTGTTATGAGCAATGTAATAGTACACTGTGAATATAATAGGTCATCCTTAGAAAATTTTGCTCTTGGTTGTAATTAGGCAAAAAGACAAAGATTTATACACTTGCCCAACTGGCAAAATCTACTGGCCATGGGCCATTGGGCGAACTTGCCAACTTTCCCTATTTAGGTGGCAGACTCCCAATTTTGGACTAAAAATTGATCATTTTAAACCAGTGAATTTGCTAAACTATTCCTATTTTGTAAGGTCTGATGATTTTTAACTGAAAGAACAGCTCAAACAAAGACATTTAATAGTGTTATTTTCCCCTAGGGTGTACATACACACATAAATTAAGTGTAATCTCTAGCTCCCATGTAAATTTCAAAATGTTGGTAAGTATGCATTGGTCCTGGGATTTTTCTTGCACTGAACATTTTACATACACTGTGCAAGTATAGGAAATTAATTACTTTTCCTGTGTCTGTGTAAAGAATTACTTGTCCTATGTCTGTGTAAAGAATTACTTTTCCTGCTGATAACTTTTGTATACAGTATTTATTTGTTTTCCAGGCTCCCACAAATGTGATGGGCCATGGACCCCGGACCCCAGGAGGGTCGAAGGAGAAGGAGAAAAAGATCGGACACAGACGAGTAGACGAGACTGGAATTGTTACATACAAAAAGGTACAAATATTAAAGCATTCAGGGAAAATCTTACAAGCTCAAAGCAACTGAAAACTCTCAAATATTTACTGTTTGACAATAAAATCCATATTTGCCCAATGCAAATTTCGTCCTTCACATGTATGTTATTACTATTCTTTCAGGATTAACCACCTGTTAGAAATCTTTGTTAGAAAACTGCTAATTGTTTTGTTTTAAAATATGACAATAATGGACACTCATATACTGCATCCACCCAAGTTTGTAGTCTGAATCGCTTTACAACTCATTGATAACAAAGGGTTCTAAAGGGCCGGTTTCCAAAACGGCCCCTTCTCTGATTCAAATTTCCTGTTGGTGGTGCATTGCCCATGCCGTTGTGGTCACAAATCTATAAAGTATAAAGATTTAGGTCACTTGGTTTGTTTTTTATGGCTCCTCAAAGTTGTCCCTTTCAGAAGCTGTCTAAGTGTTGATAAAATGTGCATGTTATGTAAAATATTAATGAAAATCTAATCAAATGATGGTCACTGTAAAGAATACATTCACGGCATGATTGTGACAAAAAATCATGTGTCCATCGCGCCATTTGGCTGTTTTATGGAAGAAACAATCTCAAAAATGCCATTTTAGATGATAACATTTTAGACACAAAAACTGTGTTTTTTAGAGAATACACCCTATTATGGGTGTTGAATGAAAACCAATTTTTATCCTATTAAACAGTACGTAATATGCTATTGATGAGAGGAAAAATCATCAAAATTTAAGTGGTGGAACATTTTCAAATGTTGGGTTGAATTGCCGATTTTCGACTTTCTTTAGATAATTAACAAAAAAACGAGAGTATTTGCTCGGTATGTTGAGAATATGTACACAGATATGAAAAAAAGTGAGAGAAACACTTTTTCATAAAAAAAAATCCAAGATGGCTACTTCACAAGTCCCCGTGGTTGAAGACATTGGCTGACAAATAGACAGAACAACAAACAAAATGTGTTCCTTATGATTTTGGTTGGTTTTCGCATTTACGGGAGTGTTCATAGCTACAGGCGATTATATAATACCTATATTTATAAGATTGGTTAGTCACATGGTAACGGGGATCTTTCATATGGAGCCCCAAACATACTTTCGACATATGCACTCCGTTGCCGCATGGAAAACTATTTCAAGTTTTGTCGGAATTTCTTTACCTGTGGTTGTAATGGTCGAGGGTTTTCCAGCGTCCTGTAATACCCAAGGTAGTACAAGATACTGGAGATGTGCGCACACATTCCCATCGTTCTCTCTCCAACTGGGCACTGGCAGTAGTAGTCCTTTATTGGGGCCTCAACATCGGGTGAAACGGTAAACCGTATCCAAACGTTATATTTCGTTTGGCTTTTGTGTCGAAAATGTATTTCACATCGGAGAAGGTCTGGGGAGTGCTGGAAAAGCCACACCTCATAGTCTCCGTCATCACTTAAATGTTCGGCGATGTAACCAGGAGCCAGAGATATCTGATACGTTCCACACTTGGTTCTCAAGTAATCAAGATCGAGACGGGGAAACAGTACGAAAGATGCATCCATCTTGACAAACTCGGACCTTGCCCGTCTAGATAGATCTGGATCTATCTTGATTCTCAGAGCTAAACCATTCGGTGTTGTCAAACGGTCCTTCATACGTTCAGCCATTAGCCTATCTTTGGCATCTCTCTCTGGAGATCTCTGGTAGATTGGTCCTCTAATACCATTCTGACAGGCTGTGACAGTTCGAAGCAAAGCCTCAATGACATTGATAAAGCTGTTAGACACCAATTGCGTTCGGAAGAACGTCCAGTGTTTCAGACGACCATGATAGGATTCCACAATCCACCTCGATTTGGTGATAGTTCTGTCAAGATTTGCTTGGACGTCAGAATGTTGACTTTGACCGGGTTTCAGGTATGACGGCATGCTAGCATTGAGGCCAGAGGCTTCGAGAACTGGTAGGACATCTCTAAAACCTCGGTCAACGACAACGTTGTCGTCTGGTTGTAGCCAAGTAACTAGCTTGTCCATGACTTTTTTTGTAATTGTAGCATCATTTTCGCTGCCAGTGAATGGTCCTACTGTGTCCAGAATGTAGCCATCTGGTAAGGCGATGCTCATGAATTTGAGATAGTTTCTCTTCTTCTGGCCACAGTAGGACATTCTCTGGAGCTTGTGGTCGGAGCTTTTCTGGATATAAATATAGGTGCCATCTAATATGGCAGTGGCTTTATCTCCAAAAAATGCTTCTGAAAAGACAGTATTGTGCCCGAGCAACTGTTCTCTTGTCAAGTGATCCGGACCTAGAAATTGTGGGACTATCGATGTGTCTAATGCCTGTACTATGGAGTGGAAAGTTTTGGACACACTTGACTTGGAAATTCCAAAAAGAGAAGAACACTGACTCCAGGAAATGTCGGTTTTCAGTTTTACCCAGAACAGTAATAGAGCATCGTGTGTAGTCTTGGTATATATACCAGATGAAAGATATGGGGAACAGTGCGAGTGGATTTCGAGGAACTGATCTTTGGACCAACCTGTCCAGGCCATGCATGCCGAGTCATCAAGAGAAGAAAAGCTTATTGTAAACGCAGACTGGTTCTGTGAAAGGACGTGCGACACCTCTAGGAGGTCATTAATGATTTCGGACGATTTTGATGGTAACTGAGATTCCAAGGAACCTCTACCATCAAGGACAACCTCTGTAGACGGATCTAAGTCGTTACCAATAAGGTGAATGGAGCAGACGCGGGATGAGGTGGGACACCACAGTTTGTGTGAATAGATCAGGTGATGTCTTGCACGTTTTGGTAAGACTGATGATTTTGTTCCATTTCTTGCAAAGGTAACAAGACAGAGACAGCATTTTTTGTGTGAAGATGATCCATTCAAAAGATCATGAAGGGTCAGCAACGGCAGGATATGGGACGGGGAGTCGTCTTCTTCCTCTATTTCCTGGTTCTGCTCGGGTTCAGGTTCAGGCTGATTTTTGTTCCGAAGATACTTCATGTAGCACTTCTGGCAAATAAGTGCTTGTTCCTTTGCTGACATCAATCCTTGTTGCACCAGCGTATCTAGGAGCCATTTATATTGTGGACTATTTACATTGCGTGCACTTCTGTTCTTATTGCCACTACGTTTCTTGAAGTATACTTGACACCCTTCTCCAACACATTTACCCTCCATCTTGAAACAATAACGATTGGTTTATGAAGCGTCGATAAAGTAACAAAATAGCAAGCCACCGATGATTGCTGTAAACAGCTAATACTTAGTAGTTTGGTACAATTATGCGAAAATGTGTGATAAATAACGAACAACTAATTACACAAAATAACAAGACAATATAATAAATCACATTCAATACCTCCAAGAAGCGCAGAATTGATTGATTACTTAGAACAAAATAAAGTATTTCATATGGATAATCTATCTATTCGATGTGGCGTGGTCGGCAGGCACAAAGAAAGTGAGACAAGTCAGGGTCCCAACCCTGACAGAGCCACAACGCTTTGGAGATGGGACAATAAAACAAGGAAAGTGAGACAAGAATAGCTAGCGTCGAGTCAATGATTCCGTAAACGTATAGACAAAGACAAGAAGATACGGATAAATGTACAAGGCCACACGATCAGAAAATTCAGAAGAGGACAACTTGAGATAGAACAGTATTCATGTATCAGGGTGTCCTCAGTGTAAATCTTTATATCGATACTGTTTATTTAGTCGTTACACATCATAAAACTGTCATGAAAATATCCGCTCTGATATTCAATATAAAAGTTTGTATATAATAAGCTATATAATAGGGTTTCAGACAAGGTTGTTACTCATTTCCCCTTTTCTTTCAATTTACAACCACATTCAGGCGGCGATATGAGAACGTTCCACCACATGGAATTAGCTGATTTTTGGTACACATATGAAACAAGTAAAGCTCTATCCGATTTTCTGATGGAAATTTGCATCCAAAACTATATAACGGGAGAAAATTGCAATTTTATGGCATTTTTCTTCATAATTGTGTCTCTGCAAGTGCATTTTCATCCGAGAAATTTTTTTTTTTATGTTTTATGAATAAACACGATGTTTTGGAAATATTTATCAAAAGAAATTTATACTATGTTGCGAATTACAATTTCGAGATAACCTTCTTTTATTTACGAACTTATGTCTTTGATGCTGAAATTGACAACTTTATAAAAATACATTTTCACTGAAATTATGAAATCTGGGTGTCGGAAAGGTGTAAAATTATACTTCGGAAAAGAAAAAAACAGTAGTTGAGCTAGATAAGAAATTATACCGGGGCAGGCTCCTATGGAGAATTAACATTACTGGAAACAGGCCCTTTGATTTTTGAGAAATATCTGAAGCACATCAATTTTTGTTTCCTGCTTAAGTTGCACTTTATCATTTTAAATCTATATATAAAGTTTTAAAAATATATTTCGCATCAAGTTGTCAGGTTAAGGTGATGTGACTCCTGAAACAAGCTAATTTATAAACCATGTATTGTTTAGCCAAGTATATTTTATTTGAACAACATTTACTAAAGAGGGTTTAAATCAACATTAATATGTGAACATTTGATGCTATATTCCAATTATATATTGTATAGATTTACATAAAAAAAAAAAAATCATGAAAATTCCAATTTTATTTATATTTAAAAATTGAAGATTTATGCTATTTTTTAAATCTTCAATCCAAAATGGCTGACAAGTAGTCAAAAAGTGCAGACTTAAAATGGACATAACTCGAGATAATTTGATGATCTAATCATCAAAATGTCAAGCAGGATGAGTACGTTACGATAAGCATAAACATAACCCTGCTTAAAATATCTGAACAAATCATGTGACCTCACTTTATTGTTTAGAATATGTAGCTATTGAAGCATCGAAAAGGTTATATTTAACTCCTTCACCCCTGAAGACACATTTGAACTCTTCCATTTCAAAGGTTGGAATAGTTCATTATGAAATTTCAGGGGTAAATGAGTTAATTTTATGTTGTCCTGGAAAACCTCGTACATATGTAGCAGTACTGAGATGTAAACCGTATTTTACAACAATGTGATTAATACCAACTAATAGGCAATTAGCTATACCAGGAAATGTTTGCCTTCACATTCAATGTTTAATTCCTTGTTTATTTTGAAAACTTCCCGGTATACAGTATCCGTTCACTACAGACAGGACTCATCATATCAACTTTATTTATTTTACAAAAATTATGAAACAAGTGATTGCAATTTATATTAATCACTCCTGTTGGCCCAGATGTTAGGACACAGGGGGTCTTTATGTTGGAGTAAACTGGAGTACCCGGAGAAAACCCATGTCGTCTGGCAGGTGACCCATACCTTTTCACGTCTGATAGGGAAGTCAAACCCTGGCCGCTTTGGTGAAAGGCAAGTGTGCTATCCACTGCACCACCAGACAACCCAAAGAGGTGATCATGAAACAATGAAGGAGATGAAGATATCACTTTATTTTGAGGAAGAATTTGCAGTAAATCTTGTCAAAGTAAACCTGTTATACCACTTTCCTCATCAACATGTTTTCGCTTCATTTCCCAGAAACCGACGTCGGAGTTGATGGCTGCGATACAGCTGGGGATCGGGGCCAGTGTGGGAGGGCTGTCCTCGAAACCGGAACGCGATGTCCTGATGCAGGATTTCCAAGTTGTCGACAGTGTGTTTTTCCCAGCGTATGTATATAAAGTTACCAGAAACACTCCAACTTAAGTTAGGAATGTGTTATATTCTGTTGTGGAAGGAACCAGGTAACAATAGGAAGTCAGTTATTAGCTCACCTGGCCCGAAGGGCCAAGTGAGCTTATGGCATGGTGCGGCGTCCGTCGTCCGTCCGGCGTCAACTTTTTACTTTAAACAACTTCTTCTCAGTAACCAAAAGGCCAAGGGTGATGATATTTGGCCAGAGGCATGCTTTGATGAAGGGCTACCAAGTTTGTTCAAATAAATGACCTTCATCAATTTTCAAGGTCAGAGGGGTCAAATATGTAAAAATCTTTAATCAACTTCTTCTGAATAACCAAAAGGCCTAGGATGATGATATTTGGCCAGTAACATGCTTGGATGAAGGGCTACCAAGTTTGTTCAAATAAATGACCTTCATCCATTTTCAAGGTCACATGGGTCAAATATGTTAAAATCTTTATACAACTTCTTCTGAATAACCAAGAGGCATAGGATGATGATATTTGGCCAGTAACATGCTGGGATGAAAGGCTACAAAGTTTGTTCAAATAAATTACCTTGATTTATATTCAAGGTCACAGGGGTCAAATATGTTAAAAACCTTTCAACAACTTCTTCTGAATAACTGAGAGGCCTAGGGTGATGTCATTTGGCCAGTAGCATGCTGTGATGAAGGGCTACCAAGTTTTTCAAATAAATGACCTTGATTTATATTCAAGGTCACAGGGGTCAAATATGTTTAAAACCTTTAAACAATTTCTTCTGAATAACCGAGAGGCCTAGGGTGATGATATTTGGCCAGTAACATGCTTGGATGAAGGGCCACCAAGTTTGTTCAAATAAATGACCTTCATCCTTTTTCAAGGTCACATGGGTCAAATATGTTAAAATCTTTATACAACTTCTTCTGAATAACCAAGAGGCATAGGATGATGATATTTGGCCAGTAACATGCTGGGATGAA